TGTAAATATATATATATATATATATATATATACACAGCAGCTCCTCCTTCTTTCTTGTACCCGACTGTGGTGACTAAGTTCTCCTCTCCCACAGCCCTTGATTGACAACTGCAAGTCTCCGTCACGCTGATTAATCATAGCTGATTAATCAAGCTCTGAGGTTTCAGATGCTTCCTGTTTACTCCTCACGTGGCTCCATCGGCGCGTGGATGGTTGGAACCAACCATCGGATGCTTTGAACCAACCATCGGATGGTTTCAACCAACCATCGGGTGGTTTGGGAAGCTGCTCCGCTGTTTTCCCTCCTATTTGCTCCGGGGCTGCGGCGATCGCTCACGTTTCTCCTAGCATTAGCAAATGTCCCCAAGGCCCCTTTTACTCCTAGCCTGGTGGCATTTCAAGATACAGCCTTAAATTCCTCCTCTATTAACAATCTGAAGCAATAAGTACAACGCGCTGACTGACAGACTGTCACCGTGACTCAGCCAGGGTGAAGAATCTGCTACACGTTTGAGAATTAGGAACCTCTAAGAGTCCTTTGCTAAGTAGCTGAAAAACATTTCCCATCAGCTTTTATCCTGGGGATGGTTTTTATTTTTTGTTACCTAAAACCCACCGAGCTCTTTTATCCCTTCCATGTTCCGCGCATGGAGGAGATCCATAGGGAAGTCTTCCCTTTGTGTCTACCTTATAAAAATCTGTCTGCTCAATTGCCAAATGGGAAGTCACAGAACATATGTAACCACATACAAGAGCATTAAACACTATGTAACCACATATAGGAGCATTAAACACTTCACCCAAATTGGTGCAACAGGTAGTTGGAGAGACAAGCATGACCTTGGCTGAAAATCAACACAGAAAACAAGGAGGAAAAAAAATATTTAAGGAAAAAGCTCATCTAATTGAGAAGATTCCTCATTTTTGGAGGCATCCTATATTTACCTTAAGCCAGAGTGTTAATATTGGCATCCAAGACAATCAATAACTAATGGAAAACTGGGAGAAACAAAACCAAACCCCTCAATTACAAACCTTTGTTTTAACTAACAGGATCCCAATTACTAACCTTTGTTTTAACTAACAGGATCCCAATTACTAATCTTTGTTTTAACTAAGAGGATTCTGCCAGGAATTTAAGCCCAAAATTCAGGTTGCAAGTAAAACCAAGCTCTAATAGCAAGATTTAGACTAATTAAAAGAAAAATCTTGTTAAGTAACCTTAATGCAATTATCTCCTACCCGTGTACTTGCAAACAGAGCGGCTCTGTGCTGGGACCGGAGGATTAGAAACTGCAAGGGATCAGCCTGAAACCTCTAACTTGGGAAAAATACCTTATCCTGTCCTAGCAGCACCTGGGAAATACCGGATTGAGGATCACTGGCAGCTCTATTGCCTCCTTTGGGATGTGTTTTTACCTGCCCATAGCCCTTTCAGGTATCCCAGTTTGGACCTTCAGGAAAGACAACGTTCCAGGAGCAACTGCTGCTTTGTTAGGGGGCACTTTCCTTTCGGAAATGGCAAGTTTAGGAGCACTGCTAAGGAAAACCGTTTGGAAAACGCCGGTAAACTCACGTCTGCCATCTGCACGCCGCCCGGCTCCGCTTCCCTTCCCGGCTCCGGGAGCTGCAAGTCAGCACATGCCCCAGGTAGGAGTTTCCCTGCTGATTGCATAAGTTTGCAAGCCCCGGACTGCACGGGATGAAGCTTTGGGCACACACAGACACCAGCTCCTCTTCGGGGAAAATGCAATGGGCACAAAGCCAGCAGGGTAAAAGAAGAGGGAAAAATAAAGGGAATCCTCAATGTAGGGCAAACGGGGAATAATTCGTCTTCTCTCGTTTCATCTTCTACCCGTGAGGCACAGAATATGACATTAGGAGATTATCCACTTGAAAGAAAAAGGCTTTGGCACGTAATTAAGGTGATGACTTTGTTTTCGGCAGGAAAAGGCTGGGAAGCAGCTCAAAAACTAGAAGTCATGAAGCTGCTCACATCTGCAGGACGTGAGGAGCCGCTGGAACGCGCCTCTTCCCGCTGGCTTCGCTCCGGAGGGAGGTTATCCCCGCTCCGCAGGCGGGGAAGCTGCGATTAAATCTCTTGCCTGGAGTCACAAAGGGAAGCCCAGGTAGAGACGGGCTCAGCCGCCAAATTCTCCAAGTTCTTGTTTAGGAGACGCTGCCTGGTTCAGCTTTGGGTTTCCCCCATCAGGAGGCAGCAGGAAAATGGGAATGTTGCAAAGCGGGCGGCATTCCGGATCTCGCTCTCTTTGAGGACAAAGCCAGAGTGCATCGTGCTGCTTTCTCAGAGCTCTTTTCGAGCTCTTTTGGGGGAAGTTTGCAAACAGCCTGTTTGTGTTAGCAGGGAAAGGAGACAGATCTCCCACGAGTCGCAGAGCGAAGAGGGAAGACACACGGGCCAGCAGGGCAAACGGGACGGGGACAAAAGCAGCCCATTCCCAAGTGACACTGCCAGAATGCCAGAAACACACTAAAATATTTTCCATTTTGCTGGGCTACACGTGGCATCGCAGCATCACAACAGGCTGAGACCTCTCGAGATCGTCTCACCCAACCGCCCTGCTCAAACAGGGTCACCTAGAGGGTGTCACCTGCCTGGGCTTCAGTATGTACCCGTTGTCACTTACCCTATCGCTGGCCATCAATGTAGGGAATTACACCCTTATACGGATAAAATCTCTACAGCTTCATCTTCTATTGCCTGTAGCAACTGTTTTTGAACGTAAAAACGCCAGAAGTCCCCACATTTTATACACCCGGGATGCTTGTCTGCTAGGAAAAGGCAGAGAAGAGATGTATGCACTAATTAATGAAAGGCCACTTTTGGCCAAAGCTGCCCTAAAGTGTGACATTATGAAGGGTGGTTGACAGCGAAGCAGCAAGGTGACGCATCACGCTGCAAAAAACCAGTGCAGAATCAAGCTCACAAACAGAGATGCTCTAACAGAGCCGCTCCGAGTTGCTCGACTTCCACCAAGGCGGGTTTCCCTCTCCTGGGAGCAAATCCCGGCCTCGACCTGCTCGGGAGCTGCCGGAACGGCAGGAAGGGAATAAACACCCTTTGTTCCCAAGCAGGGATAAAAAAGGGATAAAAGCTTCCCAAGCAGGGAGGCTGCAGGACGCCCAAAGCTGCAGCCGCGCGGGGCGCTGACCTTCCTCAGCTGGCTCTCGTACTCCTCCCGCAGCTCCCCCGGTTTGCTCAGCTTGATGGGCGCTCGGAAGATAAAGTCTGCAAAGAGAAGGAGGGAAAGGAGACGCGTTTTAGTGCATGGTCATTTCCCCAGAGCTTCAGCCCTCCCGGGGATGCTCCCGGTTTTTATCTTCCCGCGAGCGCTACCGGAGCTGCGAACTGGCTGCTGGGGATCCAAACCCGCCCGGCTGCTGCTTTGCTGCTTTTCTGCTGCTTTTGCATCTTTAAAGCTCTTGGACAACCCCCCTGCCCGTAACGTAACTCCCGTTGCGGCGGCCAAGGCCGGCGAGGAGGCCGGAGCTTCCTGTTTCAGGCACCGAGGAGCGGGAGCGCTGCCAACTCCGAGGCTTCCAGAGTGCCGAGATTTTCCCTTCCCATTCGGTTCCTTGAAAGGGGAGGGGAAAAAAAATAATCCCTTGCAACCAAACGCACCCGTCGGGCTATGGCCCGCAAGACTTTTGTGCAAAACGGATGTGAGACTGAGGAGCCTTTGGTTTTAAAGGGGAAAAAAACATGGATGCAAGAGCGAGGATCCTGTGCGTTTTATAGGAAAACATCCCGGATGCCCCAGCACGCGCGGGACGAACGCGGCACCGCGGAGCGAGCCGGGTCGCATTCCTCGCTCTGCCTCCGGCCTGCCAGGACTTCCCCGCACGTTGCCGGGGGTTTTTTTAGTTGTGTCCTGGAGTAGCTCCAGCTCTCGGGGTGTTTTCGGGCTGATTTCCCACTGGGCAGAACCAACTTCAACTATTTCTGCAGGTTTTAAGGCTTCTCTGAGACCTTATCTTCTGGGTGAAAAAGGTGGATTTTTGGGAGTAATAAAAGCCCAGGAGCTGACCTGAAGCAGGGAGTAAACACGAGCCACATCCCAGGGGGGTTGAGGGTGGCAGGGACCTCCAGGGATCCCCCCGTGCAGCCCCTGCTCCAGCAGGGACACCCAGAGCACGGGGCACCCGGGCGCATCCAGGCGGGTTGGAGATCTCCAGAGCAGGAGACTCCACAGCCTCTCCGTGCAGCCTGCTCAGAGATGCAACACGCAGCTAGAGCCAGAGCAAGTCTAAAACCAGCAGCTACTGAGGCTACTGCAGCTCAAGGTGATTCAGGCTGAACAGAAGCGAAGCAAGAACGGTTCAATAAATCAGTTAAGCCTTCCAGCTGGTCCCCACGTTGATACTTGGTGTTTTGGGGTCCTCTTGGCCGACGCAGAAGCCACCGCTCCGCACAGGGAAGCGCCTTGGGTCCTCCTCCG